GGCAGACTCCTGTTTTCAAAAGTAGCCAGTTGATTTCGCTTCTGGTGAAGCTAAGTGGATGTGATGATGAATTCTTATGCACATTTGTTTACGGTTCAAACTTTTTGGATGACAGGAAAGAGCTTTGGGATGACCTGCGCAGCCATTTTACATCTCCAATCTACCGCCATATGCGATGGATTATCATGGGAGATTTTAACGAGATCCTTTCTCGGGATGAACATTCAGGGCATGATTCCAATATGATATCTTCAAGTGGAATGCAGGAGTTTCAGAGGGTGGTTCGAGATGGAGATCTATCGGATATGGGGTATCACTGTCCTCTCTTCACATGGAATAATAAACGAGATGATGGACAAGTTTCCAAAAAACTGGATCGGTTGCTGATTAATGATCGTTGGTTGAATAGCACCCCACAATCTTATTGTGTTTTTGAGTCGGGAGGTTGCTCGGATCACCTGCGATGCAGGTTTTATGTCGAGGGGGAGATTTCAAAACCGAAAAGGCCTTTTATATTTTCTAAAGTGATTGCCAAGTTACCCAAGTTTAAAGCTGCCATGGAAGATTTCTGAAATGGAACTACTCTTTTTCATTCCACATCTGCTCTTTACCGTTACTCAAAGAAGCTTTGGAATCTTAAGCCCACTATAAGGCAGATATCGAAGGATGCACTCCACAATATATTTCAGCAGGTGAAATCAGATTATGAGCTTCTTTGGGCAAAGCAATAGCATAATCTTCTTACTCCATCGTCGTTAGTGCAGCAAGAAGAGAATGAGGCGTTTGCTAAATGGGAAAGGGCGGCATCTTTGGAGGAGGGATATTTGAAGCAGAAGTCAAAATTAAACTGGCTTAATGTGGGTGACAAAAACAACAAAGTTTTTCATCGGGCTGTAAAGATTAGGGAGTCGAGGAATGGTATCAGAGAATTACAGACACAGTCGGGTTCTATCATTTCGGGAAAGAATGAGATCAAAGCTGAGGCGGTCGATCATTTCAATAATTTTTTGAACCATCGGCCAGTAGACATAAGGCACACGACGATGGAGGAGATTGGGGAGTTGGTAGTTTTTGTTGCAATGATGAAGATCAAAATTTTCTTACTTCGGTGGTGAAAGAAGAAGAGATAAGATCTTTTTTGTTTGCTATGGCAGCAAATAAATCCTCTGGCCCGGATGGATATACTGTTGAATTCTTTAGAGAGTGCTGGTCAATTCTGGGGAGTGACTTGGTAATTGCGATTCAATCTTTTTTTTGCGAAAGGTTTCCTCCCGAAAGGAGTTAACTCAACTATCTTAGCCTTAATCCCTAAGAAGGAGCAAGCTAAATCGATGAAGGACTATAGACCGATTGCATTTTGCCTCGGAAAGCTGACAAAACAAATGCGATCATTGGATTATTCACGGCTGATAGATAAAATACGAGGCAAAATGCTTACATGGACTGCGAGAAACTTGTCTTTTACTGGGAGATTACAGCTCCTCTCGTCAGTGATAGCGAGTTTACTGAACTTCTGGATGGCATCGTTTCGGCTTCCAAAGGGCTGCATCGAGAAGATTGAAAGCATTTGCTCTGCTTTTCTCTGGTTGGGGCCAGGGCCAGATCTTAATCATCGAAAAGCCAAAGTTGAATGGAGGAAAGTTTGCAGACTGAAGAAAGAAGGAGGGCTCGGTCTCCAAAACTTAAATGAAGCGAATGATATATGCACTCTGACACTCATATGGCGTCTCTTCACGGCAAAAAATTCACTTTGGGTAAGATGGATGCGATCTAATCTCATGCGAGGAGACTCAGTGTGGCTGCGTACGAATATGGCTTCTGGTTCATGGATGTGGAAGCAAATTCTGAAAAATAGAAGTCTTGTTGAACAGTTTCTCAAGGTTGATGTCAGGAATGGGAAATCGACCTTATTCTGGTATGACAATTGGTCAACAATAGGCAATATGCTGGTTGCTACTGGTGCGCGAGGGTGTTTGGAGTTGAGGATTCAAATCGACTCGAAGCTGGAAGACGTCTTACTCACACATCAACGGCAACAGCATCGACGACCTATCCTTAATAAGGTTGAGGATGCGATCGCAGGTGCTCTTACCAGATATGTGGCGAATGAAGATGATATCTTCTTGTGGAAAGTAAAGGAGAATACGTATAAAACCGTTTTCAGCATGAAGAGCACCTACGATCAGCTGAGGACTCACTTTCCGAGACTGCCATGGTCCGATGCAATATGGTTTAAGCACCATAGCCCCAGACTTAGTTTCGTCACCTGGCTTGCCTTGCAGGATCGGCTTTCTACTGGGGATAGAATGGTGGCATGGAACGTGAATGCCGCTGTGGCGTGTTGTTTGTGTCCTGCCACAATGGAGGCAAGAAACCACTTGTTTTTTATCTGCCCATACACTGCAGATTGGGATTCACTGGTGCAGATCATCTCAAGACCACCATCGAGCAGAGTTTGCGGATTCACTGCTCGCTACCTGTTCCACCTTACTGTCTTTGCAATTTGGAGAGAAAGGAACGCGAGACGTTACGGCACTCCTCCGACCTCTGCCACGCGACTGATAAAATGGATCGATAAAGGAGTCAGAGACAAGTTCAGTTCTATCCGCCTTCTTGGAGATGTCCCCTATAAAAATGGGCTGCAAGATTGGTTTGCTACACGACCAGCTCGGTGAGGAAGGAAGGTGATGGAAGACATCACGGGAAACTTAAGGATTTGATTTTTAAAAAAAAATTTATTGTTGTTCGATAAAACAGATCGCATCTTTTTGATGTAGGAAAGCCTTTTTTTTCTTTGAATAAAATTTAACATTCATTCAAAATATATATATATATATATATATATATATTGCAAAATAGTATCTTTTTACATAAACAATTTTTTTTTAAAAAATTATTCTCGATCTACCCTGATACCTTTAGTCATCTTTATTCATAAAACTTTGTCTTGCAATGTTAGCAATGCAAGTAAAAAGAAAGGATAAAAAAAAAAAGTGGCTTAGTCTCAGTTCGTGCTGCCTTTGCTTCTTTATTCAGAGATCTCAGCAAGTCTACTAATATTCATAGCAGTTCAAAAATCATACAACCAAAGGAACCTGTAGCAAGCAAGCTCTATAAGTTTCCTAAATGATAAGTTCTTATGTTAACTTTTGACTATACATGTAACTAAGTGTTTTTTTTGTTCAGCTATGCGGATTAATGGCAAAGAAAATATTCCATGCTCATTAAGTAATAATGTTTGCGAGAAAAATACTTTTTTTTCTGGAGGTATGACTTTGTTTTTTTCCAAAAGCTCTCATATTATAATTATAAAAATTATCTAAAATTGATATCATATAAATTACATATATAATGTTTCAGGTATAGAAAATATTCCTATACAATCAAGAAGAAATGAACCATCAGTTCTACAAAAAAAAAGGTTTGTCATTCTTCATTATTTGATAAATATTTTCAAAACAATTATACAATTCAAGCGGTTTTGTTTTTTGTTTTTTTTTTATCCTCTACAGAACCAACTATTAGGAAAAGAACTAGCAAAAGTTCTAAACCTAATAATACCACCTTAAATATTGGATTTGAGGTTTCAGAAATGTGTAAGAAAAGCATTACACAGATGAAACCATACTTGGTAGAACGACTCAGAAAGTAACACGTCCAAGTACGATAATGTTTATTTCTTTCGTTTTAACATATTTTGAAGGTTTACTGAACCAAATATCTAATAAGAGTACTATATTTTTATACAACAACTTTTAACTATTCGCCCCTTTAGCAGGTAAACTAAAAGCTGACGGTACCAAATATAATACCTGTGAGAAGAATGAGTCTACATGTATCCTAATATAAATTTTATAAATATATTAGATTCCTTTCGTGACAATTGCAGAAACTAGAACTAAATTCTATTGTTTTTTTTGTGTTGTTATTAAGAACAACTAGGTGGCTGGCCCGCATCCTGCGTGGGCTGATGGTGTTCTAAAATTTTTTTATTATAAAATGTAATATTTAAACAACATTTGGAAAAGTTTATTGAGTTTAAATTATAATATTCAAACCACATTTGAAAGCTTTTATATTTTGATTTTTATAATGTTAGATCTATATACTAAAAAAATCATATTATAACAACTGATCATTTACTAACATTTGAGTTCAAACAAACAGACCTATTTAAAACGTTTTCACGGTGGGATGAAACCTGGAACCATAATATATAAAAATCCAAAAGATAAAACAGTTTAAAAATATCAATGACCACCAAAATCTCATAACTAATATCCAATGTAAACTAAATCATACTTTTAGTAACAAACAAAACAACCTGATCAAATTAAACGCGATTTTCTATAAATGTTCTCAAACACATCTTTGTAAACAACATTCATTGTCTTCTTTTGTGCTTTGCCATTCTTATCTGTAATAATAATCTTCAATCCTTGACGTGTTGTAACCCTAGCACGGCGACATAAAGTTGACCGTGAGAGAATACTGGCTTTGGTAAATATAATTCCACCTTTTGTATAGTCTGACCCTGACTTTTGTTTATATTCACAGGAAAAGCTATGGTAATAGGAAATTGTCTCCGGCGCATTCTAAAAGGAAACCTCGTTTCTGGTGGTGACACAAACATTCTAGGTATAATAACCGTTTTCCTATCTTCTTCCCGGTGATATGGTTTGCCTCAATTACATGCCTAGCTAACCGAGTAATAAGCAACCTCGTACCATTACACAAACCACCCTTAGGATCAATATTTCTAAGCAACATTATTGGAGCTCCTATCTTTAACTTGAGAGAATGATTTGGCAGTCCCGATACCTTTATACTATTAAGGTACTCCTATGTATAGACAATTTCGTCTATTTTGCTTGTGTCTGAAGTATCAATGCTATCGGCACTAAGGTATTCATGTTCCTCACCTAATCAAAACATTTCAAACTATGTTAGTACTGATATATTTTATAATATAAATACGTATTAAAAGGAGTTGTGAGAAATCATATAACGAAGACCTTTGAGTTCTGATAGCATGAATTCATTGATAACGTCGACATCCTGATTCTGTGGACTGAGTATTGCCCTTTCCTGAAAAAAAACTGGATCACAGGTGGTTGTGTAAGATTGACCATAAAAATCTTCGAGACTATTCTCTTCATAGGATCACCTTCTCCGCTTATCAGCAAATCCGCTGGAATTTCTAATTCATCTTCTATGGTATCATGAATATTTAGTTTTCCATCACCAATATCCAAGATCCACTTGGCGAATTCTTCAATTTCTTGATTACTGAAATCATTATCGCCACGAAGCAGTCTCATATTTGTCTTTAGCTGCAGAACTTTGCAATCAGACAAAATATGAGACAAATTCACAGTTGCCAATATAGTCTCTGAGCTGTTGCCTCCAACAATAACGGGAAGTATTTGTCGAAAGTCACCACCCAAAAAAACGACCTTTCCACCAAATACCTCATCACACTTTAATGTATCACGCATAGTCCGATCTAGTGTCTCAAAACAATGCATGCTCATCATCGGAGCCTCATCCCATATAATAAGATCGGCTGCTTCAATCAACTCTGCTTGATGTGATCCAGAACTCACATTATAGAATGTATACTCGTTCACAACCATGGGTATTCCAAACCGAGAATGCGCTGTGCTTCCTCCCTCTAATAACAATGCTGCAATGCCACTTGATGCAACATTGAGAACTATTTTTCCTTGAGAACGAAGAGCAGCGCCTAAAAGCCTCCATAGGTACGTTTTACCTGTCCCACCGTATCCATAAACAAAAAACATCCCACCGATACCTCTTGTAACTGCATCCATTATATCATTGTAGATATCCTTCTGTTCATTGGTTATTGTTGAAAACAACTTGACATGATCGTTTGCAAGTTTTGCACGATCGTATGATTTCTCGTCCCGGATTAGATGATTTGATTTCTTATACTTTCCAATATCATCAGGGACTGACATCTCTCCTTTATAGTCGGATAATGAATGACCGTTTCTGCGCATATACTTCTCTATATCTGAAACCAAGATTCTTATATTGGGCTTCAGTCAACACCAAACCTAGTAAACAAATAAGTATGTTAGCAACTAAGATAATGTGATTCTTGTAAAATAATTTATAATTAAAAATCCATCTTACCTGGGTCATTCTCTTCACGCCTTTTATGATATAAGAAATCCTCAGTTAATATTTGCTAAGTAGCATTCCAGACGTTGATCGGAACTGCTACACTACTCGAAAGAAGCATTATAGCAAAAAGCTTACGAAGAAACTTTCCAGTTCCCCAAAGACTGGCCTTTTTAATTCCTTCGATATATTCTTTATCGTCGTCTAACAAACCAAGCGCAAAGCATGCTTCTCGAAAAGAAGAGTATATAACACCATTAACCTTTTTTAAGTCATCAAAACTCTCAGGATGATATGCGTCTTCAACAGAAGGTGAGACATACACCAGTCTGCCTATGGCAAAACCTTGTTTTTCGTATTTATCATTTCGGCTGCTTTGAGACCCAGACGAATTTGGTTGGGAAATCAGCATATGTTAGAGTCTTTGCCAAGGCATATTCGTTGTTTGCCTCCATCCACGCTAGAAATTGTGACTGACCTACCGATGCCTTGTTTAACACTTGGTCAACGCTCTCTCCTTCGTGATATATACACATTTGTTTACCAGGCAAATGAAACGAAAGTTGCACTACTGCCGTGGTTCGGTACTGTGTAGGAATCTTTAGAAGCCTCCATGAAGATTCATATGGTGAAATGTACCTAAGAATGAACAAATAAAATAGAAATAAATAAGCATGTTTTTTTTAATTATACTTAAGTAATTATTAAAGTGATCAAATCTTAATAATTAGTTTCGGAAAGTTACCTGCAATTGTAATGTTGCTCAACCTCATCTTGGGATATAACGAGTTTACCGTCTTCATCCTCGATCGCTGCTCTAATGTAATCTGGACCCTTGTTTATATATTTGAATAGGTACTTTATAAACCGGGTTTGATTGCACCACTCAACGTTAACATGTGCCCGAAAACGCTTTAGGAGATTTGGATTATATGGGACAACATGTCGGTTATCACACAAAACACCCCTCTTGAGAATGGTTCTTTGATCTATACGACGCCTATAAATGGGGAAGCCAGCATCATCAATTTTAGTAACTGATCCGGTAGGCTTAGGAAATAATTTTGTACACCTTTTTGTCATGCATACAAACATTTTTTGGATTGTTATCACCGCATGGTCCATGTATAATCAAATCTCCAACAATTTCGTACAAAATTGGATCCAAGTCTTTGTCTGGTATCTCCGCTGATATAAATCCATCTATGGCCTCGCCTGTTGGTAGTTTGGATTCGGGTTTCAAGAAAACAACCATGTGGGCATGTGACAGTTCTCTTTTTTGGAATTCAATGGTATACATCGTTGAAATAAAAGTAAAACAAATATAAAAAGTTAAAAATATATGTAATAAATTGAATTAGTACATATACTTTAAGTATAACTTGGCACGATTTATATATTATGACTCTTTACTTATATTTAATCTTTTTGATATACCTGCATTAACGTGGCCCATAACGTGGTCTTTTGTTAGATAATTAACTAAATTATCGAGCTTCATCTTAAAAATCCTGCAACAAATATCTGGTCGATCCTCGATCTTTAGATAATGTTTTTGCAAAACCCTCGTTATCTCAGGCCATTTTGGATTGCAAGTAAGTGTTATGAAAAAATCCGGGTATCCGTAGTACTTGCATGTTACCATCGCGTCTAGATAATGTTTCCTCATGAATCTCTTACTTCCCGTGAATGAAGCAGGTATAAGCACTTTTTTTCCTTGTCCAGAAAGATCATTATTGCCACGTTCACCAGATTGTTCAATCTTATCAAAGTTGTCACACCTTAGCTTCTTTTGATTATGCCATATATAACGAAGCCTATTTGATTCTACCATCGTATATGCGTCAACCAGAAACTGCTGATACATCTCCGAGACATCATAATGATTGGGGATTCTCCATACCTGTCTTGAATGCCAAATGTGAAAAACTCGCGCATTGTCACGGTTGTACGTTTCCTTCCAGATATATCAACATAGCCAATATCGATACCTAATCTAAAACCATCTTCACCATACGGAAATAATAACGGATACTGCAAAGGTAAATAAGCCGGATGCAACTCACTTATTCGATATAAACCTCCAGACCTGCTTTGAATAACGATGTCTCTTTTTTTCTGTTAACATATTGAAATCACCAGGTACCAAAGCCGCCACATCGTTCTCAGTAGGTAAGTTATGCGTTCGACCATCAGTAGTTCGGCCAGTTGCAAGAACCAACTTAAAACCTTTAGAATTTTGATTCCCAACAAATCGTTCGCGTGCAGTTCTTAAGGCTTTAACATGAGGATTATGATCATCTAACATCTTCTTCAGAAGCTCCACGATATCTGCTCTCAGCTTACTCGAATTACCGACATCCCAGAACAATCGTTTTGGATCTATTACTATTTATAAAAATGAAACACTTTATTAATATAGATAAATAATAACATTATATTATATATAAAAATCGAAGATTACCCATTAGCATTCATCCTATTTATAACCTCGTTGATGGTATCATTGATATATAATTGTAGGAAGTTTGGTTGCTTGTCAGGTGCTGGTAACATATCTCCGATCAAATGATAATTTTAACCACACATTTGGAATAGATACGGACCATTACTGTTGTTTATAGTATTATCAACCTTTCCACAAAGTGACGTAAACGAAAACATCATATTGTATGCCCTTATGAATTTACGGAAGTGCTTCCTCGTGTTATCCCGATTATACAATAGCTTTAACAACGCTTTTGGGAGAGCTTTCAATAACGGTAGCTGAACTTTGCCACTTAGACAGCACATCGTGAAAACTGGAGTAGAAGATAGAGAGTGCTTGTTTACACGTTCTCCGAACCACATTAAAGCATGACAATAGTCACACATGTAAGATTGATCACCATCATCATAATAACTTATAATTAATTTTAAAATTTTAAAATATAATAACTTGTATATACTAATAAAAAAGAATTGGTTTTGATTTGTACCACTTTCCATCAAGCCAAAACTCGCTAATGAATTAAATTCAGGGTAATTCGGTGGTCTCTGTTTTTTTGGTCGTGGTCGTCGTTTGTTCGAATTACTTGGCGCAACAGCATCTGAATCTTTGTAATCGTCTGTGTCCAAATCAGTAGCGACAAAACATAAAACATCATCGGCATCAACGGACTCTGGCAATATATCTATAAATTTACAAAATCAGATAAAGTTAGTTATATATATTTAATATAAATCAATATAATTTTGTATTAAATCTATATAACCTTTTGAATTGCCTATTGTTCGTAAACCACGCTTGGATCGAATGATATTCAGTCTATTTTGTCTGGCTATTCTTGCCATACCAATACGTCCAAAAGATTCTATATCAATGTATTGATGATAAACTGACTTTGGCAACGTTGGTGTATACGCTTCAGCCCTTGTAACTTCTTTTTTTTTTTCTTTTGAGTTTATGTTTATAAAATATTTAATATTAATAGAAGAATATGTATCTTAATAGTTTAACGATTTCATGTGTTAATTAATAAAACTATTAGAATATTAAAATGTTAAAATTACATACATGTACAAACTGAAATATTCCACAATAAAGTAATGTGTGTTACTACGCAATTTATAGAGAGAGTTAAGTACTTGTTTTAAATTTATCTTTCTTTATATCAATAATGCTTCCAAATAAAACAAACCATAAATTAAAATATCCCTGAATATCAGTACTAAAGTATATAAAAAAAACTTTACAACATCGAGAATTCTAAGAATATCAGTTAGAAGATTTCAAAACTTATGTGTTTATTCATTGTCTTCTTCCTCTCTTCTTGCTATTATCTCTTTCGTCAACATTAGGCGTTTGGATGGCCAATTCAGAAACTCGTTTTGATATAGGCGATGGTGTCAGTGATGCAACTCTACCTGAGTATCTAAGTTCTAAATCATGTTCGACGGATCGTATTCCATGATTTTCAAACTTATTTAACTTATATGCATCATCGATAATGATCTCAACTCTATAAGTTTGACGCCTGTTTGACAGATTCTCCGTTGTTATTCCGATTTTAAAAAGGAGTTTCTTCCCAACCAAAGCAGTAAGAGCTCGTGGAAGCACCAAAGTTTCGTCCTGATGCCAAAATATAAAAAGACATTACATATAACTAACATAAGATTATTTGATCATGTGCACTATGTATTATAAAATGATATACCTCAGCAACCTCCTCAGCTAAAGTATCTGCCTGAACTCGGAGAAATGCGCTTGCAATTTTATCAAACAGCAAAAATCTTATCTCTTCGCCAGTCTCGTCGGAAACAACCAACACTAACTTATACCTACGAAAATATGAATATTTGTAAAGTCAATAACAAAGCTTTTTCAAATAACTACTTTTAATCAATGAACCATTTACCTGGCTACAACATCTGAGACAGCCTCGCCACATTCTCTATAATCAAATAGCAAGGAATCGTCATCGGTAGAATCAGATTCTATTGGATGAACTGTTTTATCGCAAGTTCTGCATGCAATACAATACCATATAGGATTATATTCGGCTCGAACAACTGTCGCAGCAGTAACATATTTCATTTCCTACACTCGAAAAGAATTTGATTTAAATATTAAAAACAGATCATTCTGAAATATATAAAACATATAATTGTGATGTATATATCTAAAATATACTTAATGAAAACGTACCGTATCAGCATAAACAATACCCTGAATTGTTTTTCTTTCATTTCTATCAAAGAATTCATCTTTCCATGAAACAGACTTAGTGGATGATGATGGCACCTTATGTTCATTGGATATTACAAATGTATTTGTTGGCAACCTAACAAAAGA